AGTGACCCTCTCTGGGGTATCAGTGCCCCCCTGTGCCCGGGGTTTGGGGGAACAGGGATGGTTCATCTCAGCATCACTTCTCCTGCCCCATATCCCTGTTCCTGCCTGGGAGGAGGTGGGATAGGACCCCATCTCTCCTCAAATCCATAATTTCCCTTCCCAGAACAAACAGGGGGTTCTTCCCCATCCCTCTCCTTGGTCGTGCTGCCCATCCCAGTCCTGCCACTCCCACCCCACACCCCCCAGACCCTTGCATGGCCGTGTCTGTCCCACCCCAGCCCTGGGGGTGGGGGGCACAGGGCAGCCCCCTCCCCAAGCTCCCAGCGGTGCAGGGAGCCCAAGGGAACCCTGGAATCCTGGGGGCTCTTCCCGCTGGGATCGGGCTCACATCCCCGGGAAATGCCGGCTCCCGCTCAGGTGGATTGAAACGTGTTCTGTCAGCTGGGACAACTCGCTAGATCTCTTTTTGTGTTTGTTTGTTTGTTTTGGGGTTTTGTTTTTTTTTTTGTAATGGTTTCTCCTGGTTTTTAGGGGAAAAAAAAAAAAAAAAAAGATGACCCACAATTCATGACTTGTATCTCTGAATGGAAAGTATTAAATGTTTTCTTCTTTCTAATGCTTGTGTTGGGGAGTGGGCTGGGGTTGAATGGGAGCTTGGAGGGCATGGAGTTCCAGCCCTGGTTTGGGGTTGGATGGGACCTTGGAGATCATCCATTCCCACCCCCTGCCATGGGCAGGGACACCTCCCACCATCCCAGGTCGCTCCAGCCTGGCCTTGGACACTCTCAGGGATCCAGGGGCAACCACAGCTGCTCTGCCCAACCTGTGCCAGGGCCTGCCCACCCTCCCAGCCAAGAATTCCTTCCCAATATCCCATCCAGGGCTGTCCCCAAGTCCTCCTGTCCCCAAACCAGTGGAGCCACACCCGGGGCCACCTCTCAGAACTGCTCTTTAATCAACTACCACTCCCACGAGCCACCGGCTGACAACACCACCACCACCCCCCTGTGGGGCTGGCTGCGAGCCCAGGGGGGTGTCCCTGGCCCCCTCTTTGGGGTGGGGGGCTCTGGGGGATGCCCCAGGCGGGTGTGGGTGAGCCCCTGGGGCCGGGGGGGGGCTGCCCAGCCCCTCCTGGGCTGCTCGAGGCACCTGGTCCGAGTCGATGGGGCTCAGGGGCCCCTCAGCCACTGAGCTTCAGGAGGCTGTAAATCTGCTCCAGGACGTGGGCGAAGCTCTGCTCTTTGGGGGTGCGGGAGGCCAGGGAGCCCTGGGGGGGGGGGAACACCCCCCCAGTTAATCCCAGCAGGTGGAGCCCAAACCCCCCCCCCCCTTCCCCACCCCAACCCCTTCCTCACCTTCAGCTTGTCCAGGTAGGTCTGGTCCTGACTCCACAGCTCCTGGAACTTCACCAGGTCGGGGGCCCCTTTATAAAACTCCACCAGCAGCGTCTGGGGGGGGGAGTGGGAGGGAGGGGCTGCAGGGCCTGGGGGTGCCCCGAGGTTGGGGTGGGGGTGTGTGGAGAAGGGGCTGTCACCAGCACCAGGTGGGCAGGGATGAGTGGTGGGCTCGGGGTGGGCTCGGGGAGCTGTCCTGGCGGGGCCACAGGGATTTGGGAGCCCCCCCAGGCCGCGCTCACCATCTCCTGCACCACGTCGTTGGTGAGGAATCCATCCTGGATGTAGGACACCTCCACCTCCATGGGGATGCCGTAGTCGTTGGGCCGTTGCTGGAGGACAAGGGGGGAGGTCACAGGGCTGTCACCCACCCTGCAGGGGGAACCCCACCCCAAATTTCCCCCCACCCACCCACCCCCAGCTCACCTCGGGTGGGGGCATCACCCAGAAGGGCGCGATCCGGGACTCCACGCCGGGGTTGCCGTGGAAGTAGGGCCCTGTGGGGACAGGATGGGGCTGGCACGGGGGGGGACACGGCCCCCTCATCCCCCCAACCCCCCGTGGGGCCCGGCACGTACCGCAGATGAGCCCCAGGCAGGGCTGGAAGCCGTTGCCGCTGCCCTGCAGCTTGAGCTGATAATCCATCTGCGCATCGATGTCGTGCAGCGAGGGCAGCGCCGGCCCGAAGGGGTGGCTGTGGTACCACCCCACCAGCGACAGCCCCCGCAGGAACAGGCTCTGGCAGATCTGGGGGAGGGACACACACCGTGGGGATGGGACCCCTGGGAGCCCCTGCCCGGTCCCTTTGGGGTGGGAACACGTTCCTGACCCTCTCTGGAGGATCAGTGCCCCCCTGTGCCCACAGTGACCCTCCCTGGGGGATCAGTGCCCCCCTGTGCCCTGGGTTTGGGGGGACAGGGCACAGGGGGCCCAAGGGAAACCTGGAATCCTTCCCAGCGCTGTTTTACCTCCTCCTCCACGGCACCGGCGGCTTCGGCGTCACCCAGGCGGGTCCGGCACGGGAAGGCTCGGAGCACCGTCAGCACTGGGGGGGATAAGGGGGCACGGGGTGGGTGATTCCCCCCCCCAAACCCACCCCCAGCACCCCCAGCCCGCTACCTACGCTGCGTGTTGGTGTCCCAGCGCCCCCCCAGGTATCCCACCACCTCACTGCGCGTCAGGTGGCTGTGGAAATCCTGCGGGGAAAAGCTCAAATCAGCAGCTCAGCCCCAAAAAACGGGCACAGGGCCCAGCCCGGGCAGGGGACGCACCAGCAGCAGCAGGACGTTGCTGGAGATGGCCACGTTGAAGGGCTGGAATTTGTTGATGGCAGCGAAGGACGTCACCTCCACCAGGGTCTGGGGGTTCCTGGAACAGCCACATTCCCGCTGCCCCCCGCCCCTGTCACCCCCCCCACACACACACACACACACCTTGGGGCCGGCGGTGCCACCCCCGTGGTGTCCCCGTGTCCCCTACCTGGCCGAGTCCCGGGTGCCCAGGGTGCAGTAACGCACGGGCACCCTCGGCTTCACCTCCAGCCTTTTCCCTGGAGCGCCGGGATCTGGGAAGCACAAGGTGCCGTCACCACAGCCCGGGGTCGCCCCCCGGGGGACTCCTCCCCCCTCATTCCCACCCACCCTGTGTCACCTTACCCGCCCCTGCCTGCTCGGCTGGGCTCTTGCACTGCTGCTTCTTGCTCCTCTCCTCGGGTTTTTTGGGAGGGATGGGCTCTGGCATCGGCACCCTCCCCTCCCTGGCTGCCTCCTCCTCCTCCTCCTCGGGCATCTCCTCCTCCTCGCCCTCGCTGGCCAGGCCCTGCGGGCAGCGCCCACCCCATGTGCCCCACCTGCCCTGGGGGTGCCGGGGGGTCACCCCCATCCCACCTACCCACCCACTCTGAGGGTGCTGGAAAGGGGTGACCCCCATCCCAGGGTGCCAGGGGGGCTGTGACCCCCATTCCACCCACCCTGAGGGAACCAGGTAGGTTTTAACCCCCATCCCACCCACCCACCCACCCTAAGAGTGGTGGGGGAGTGACCCCCCTTCCAGGGTGCCAAGGGAGGTTGTGACCCCCATCTCACCCACCCACCCACCCCCTCTGGGGGTCCTGGAAAGGGGTGACCCCCATCCCAAGGTGCCAGAGGGGGTTGTGACCCCCATTCCACCAGCCCTGAGGGAAACAGGGAGATTTTAACCCCCATCCTACACACCCACTCACCCTGGGGGTCCTGGAAAGGGGTGACCCCCATCCCAAGGTGCCAGAGGGGGGCTGTGACCCCAATTCCACCCACCCTGAGGGAACCAGGTAGGTTTTTAACCCCCATCCCACCTACCCTAAGAGTGCCGAGGGGGTTCTGACCCCCATCCCACCCACCCACCCACCTGCCCTGAAGGAACCAGGTAGGTTTTAACCCCCATCCCACCCACCCACCCACCCTGAGCGCGCCGGGGGGCGGGGACAGGGCGGTGTCACCTCCTCGGGGGGCGGCACGTTGGGCTGGTGGCGGCGCAGCCAGGCGGCTTTGTACTGGTCGAGCTTCTGGCCCTTGTAGCGCACGGACGCCCACCCGCAGCCCGACTTCTTGGCAGGGTTCACCAGGCGCTTGCAGTGCGTGGCCCACGCGCTGGGAGAGTTGAACACCTGCCCCGTCTCCTGCCAGGGGAGGGAAGGGGAAGGGGAAGGGGAAGGGAAAGGTCATGCCCCCTGGGGAAGCCCGAATCCCTAAATTGTCATCCAGCTCACCCCCCAGCCCTTCTGCGGGGCGGGTGGAGGAGGAGGGGTGTGAGTGATTCCGGGTTCAGGAAAAGTCTTTGACTCACCTGCCACGTGATGGTCCCATCCGGCCCCAGGTCCCCCATGAACTTCTTGCCCTGTGGGTGGATGGTGGGAGATGGGGAGGCCCCTGCTGGCCCCCCCTTGTACCCACCCCTGCCTCACATCCCCTGAGCTCATCCTGTGTCCCCTGTTCCCATCCCTTATGCCCTATTCCCATCCCAGGTCTCCTGTCCCCTGGCCCATTCCCTGTTCCCTGTTCCTGTCCCCATCCCATATTCCCTGTTCCCATCCCATCTCTCCTGTGTCCTGTCCAGTGTCCCCATCCCACCTTCCATGTCCCCATCCCACCTCCCATGTCCCTATCCCATCTCCCCTGTCCCCATCCCACCTTCCATGTCCCCATCCCATCTCCCATGTCCCCATCCCATCTCCCCTGTCCCCATCCCATCTCCCCTGTCCCCCTGCCACCTTCCCAGCCCCTGTCCCCTCGTCCCCGGGCTCACCAGGTAGTAGATGGAGAGGACGCCCCTGCCCGGCTCCAGGAGCCCGTCTCGGAGCAGGACACGCAGGGTGATGCCCCTGCGGGTGAGCACAGCCCCCCTCGCGCCCCCCGCCGCCTTCCCCCCGGCCCCGGCCTCGGGCTCCGCCTCGTCCAGCCCCGGCTCCAGCTCCTCCTCGTCCTCCTCCAGGCACTCGTCCCCTCCCGGGAACCCGGCGGCCAGCGCTGGGGAGGGGACACACGGCGTGGCAGCACCCCTGGGTGTCCCCACAGAGCAGCCCCCCCGTCCTTCCTGCCGGGATGGGGACCCGGGGCCAGCAGGGTGGGGGACACTGATGGGGACAGATGGGGGGGG